AAGATAGGGGCCTTAATAATCAGAATAGGTTTTTGAGACTCGTTATACTATGCTTATCAAGGAGCCCCCAAGATACTATTGGTAAGCACATAGGCCACTATATTACAGCTCACAGTGGAAAATTGAAACTTCGAAAACCCTTTGCAGCACGACTTCGGAGACCGTAGACCCTCGACGGCCCAGGACCTTCAACAAGACTTACACACCCTTCAGGGGGTTGATTCTTCTAACTATGAATGACTATGAACCTAGCAAGGCAATACGGCCTGCAAAAACCGGCAGGGTTCAGGTATCCCGGCCAAGGCACCAACGGTACAGCCTCCCTGCATCTGGGTGGTCTGGTGGGACCTGCTGAAGCGGCGGATGTTACTCTAAGGTCTTGGGTTTCGGAGGTGAGGAGTTTCTTGTTGAGGATTGAGCATCTGAGGCAGTAAAGTCCTATCGGTTCACGAGGTAGTCTAAGTCTTCTACCAAACACAAGTGCCGACAAGTGTGGCTGCGCGCTTTGTTGCCGTCGGTTTTCTTTTGCTTGCAGGCCTCATGCGACTTCAGTCTCTAAGAAGGAAGACAGGGGACTTAATAATTAGAATAGGGCTGTAGGGCCCCATATACTGTACTTGTAATAAGGAACCCCAAAAAAGAACCTGTTATTGAGGCCCCTACTTTGTTTGAGTTGGGGTTTGGCGGGCCACCAGGTTCCAGGGGCCGGGCGACAAAATCCTGCCAGATAGAGGCTGCCCACTCCTCGACGCCCCGAAACCACCCATAGGCCCCATGGTAGTTAATAGGATCCTAGATATAAGCCACGAATGGGCAGACCCGACACCGTAAACCTTCAAATCCAAGAGCCTTGAGCCCTAAAACTAAAGATCTCTAAGTCCGAAAATCCTAAGACCCAAAACCGCAATGCAAAACTGCTGTTTGCCTGCCTGGTACTGGTCCCACTCCGGGTCCTGAGCAAGAGGGAGTGTGAGTGCCAAGAAGTTCCGAGGGTCGTACTTAAAGGATCAGGGGCCTTGGTTGGCAGGGTCGTACTTACTACGGCTGCACGTATCAGTACACTTGTCATCTCAAACAACTTTACAGTACTTTATAACCATACTTAGAAAGGGCTGTTCAATCTAAAGGCTGCTCTGCGTTCGGGATCCTTCTCCATGAGTTTCGGTTTTGGTTTCGGCTCTCGCGCTCGGGCAAAGTCAGGCGAGGTTTACGGGGTTCCCATGCTATGGCGGAAGGGGGAATCGAGGCTAGGGCTAGGGCCAAGTAGCTTGTATAACCCCGTGTATAGTCAGGGTTTAGGGTTAGGGCGAACCGATCTATGGTCAGGGTCGGGTTGCTTGTCTCTGATTTCGGTTTAGCGCGGAAGTAACAGGAACAAGTTGAACTTCTATACTCGGCATCCGATCATACGAGCAACCACGAAACTATCAATCATCAAATACTGCATGGTGGGCATCTCGTGTTGCTGTGTGATATGGCTTCTGCAAGTGCTCTCTTTCCGGCGCTCCTGCCGAAATCACGAGAGGAACGTCTGCCATGCCAGTCGTGCGTGCGGCGCTTGCAGAACAGAGTGCGATGAAGAGAAGGACTAAGACGACCAACACGTAAGCATTGCGCAATGATGGTCAACATGTCATATAACTAATGAGTTCGTACTGGCCATGGAGGGACTACTGACGCCCTTCTACAGGTGCTGGTAATTACTATAATGCCTTTCGCTAGGGATCCAGTCACCTAAGTAGTAGGTTACTAACCACACAATGTGTAGCCCCGTATCCGATCATTTAGGGACCCTAAACCCTACACCCACCGAGTTGCCATATTGTAGGTTGATCATACGTAGCCCAGAACCCTAAATTGGACTTCTAGGCAATGTCAGGCCTTAGTCCCTAGTTCAACCCAGCTTCATCTGCATAGAACCATCTTCCCGAGGAATGGCCTTCGAAAGCAGCGGCTGTGGGACTTCGAGCTTCGTGTGTTCTGCCAGGCCCAAGTCTACATATATATATATATATGCATGTATATGTGTATATATATATACACACTGTGTATTACATGTAAATACATACAGATAAACATAAACAGATGTTTGTGTGTACATACATGTGTATATACATATATATATATGTATATAGATATATATAAGCTCACTACAGGAATGGGGCTGGGAGCAGATCAAAACTGAAGCTGGTGTTAAAGCTGCAACAAGAACGGGAAGCTTGGCGACCTTTCCCTTAGCTACACTACACTGGTCTTTGGCTCCTTGAACCTAAGACCTGTTGGCAGCACTGCCTGGATTTGGCACCACCATCACGGCAGCAACGAAGCTGTCAGGAGGGAGGGGGCGAGACAGGGAGAGAGAGAGAGAGATCGGTCGGCATGGCCATGCAAGAACGCCATGTAGGACAGTGAAGAGTCAAGACGGCCAAGGCAAAGTAGAGTTAGTCCCGGTGCCTGCGGTGCTGCCTGAAACTCATTACCTCGGCCTACATTATGCCAACCGCCCAACCAGAGTCTAATGATACGAAGGCCTAAGCAACGCCTCAAAATTGTGGCACGCTCCCCAACAGCCTCGAGATGCGGAGCGTGCTCTTTCAGCCACATTGCTTTGTCACGCAATGTCTGCGAAGAAGCGGGGTCCTCGCACGGTGCTGTCAGTATGTTGAGAGAGCTTTAGCAATGGCTCTATCCGGCACAGCCCAGACGTGCCCGATGCCGACCCAATCCAGAAGCCTGCACAACTAGTAATACTTTTCCTTGGGGCTACTTGTAACACTTGCACAAAAGATATCATTATTATAGCCCCCAGTCCAGGTTCGAATTATCAATGCCAGTGTGTTTCACCTGCAGACCCGAGCCTTGGCTCTTCGGAGAATCCACTTGCAATACGCCGCGTCTTCCGTCACCAAGTCAGACATCGGTCGTCCATGATACTTTCCACCTGACACGTCTCCCGACACAGGCCCGGGCTGTCCCTCCCCCTGAACGGCTGTTAGTCGACCCGAACCTTACCTGGAAACGTGCCCGACTACTGAAGGTTCCCGCTCGCCACGCTGCTTCCGCGAGGCATTAGCTACACACCAGCTCGAAGCTCCAGGGAAGGGGCCTCTGCTCTGTGACTCAACCAAGTCTCTTTTCTTCAACCCTGCAACAAGGCAGAGATGGCCAGCCTGAAACAAAGCAGCCCTTGTCCTGCACCTGCAATCCGAGGCAGTTTCGAAAGAGACTGCAGGTTCGGGCAAGGCACTCTGAACGAAAGGGATCATGAGCTTCGTGCTTCATGTAGCAGTGCAGCAATCAACCATGTGCGCATGTCGGGTGAAATTACGCATGTGATCGTGTATACAACAGCTATAGGTTCAAACGTAGCACCCTCGACTGTCGACTTGCAATTCAAGTACTGCTTGCAAGTTTGAATTTACGCCGAACGAACATCTGTGATCGTCCATGTGACCGCATTGGTGCGCATGATGGTTGTCGGGAGAGGGACCCGGGCGCCACTCTACGTAAATCTACACCTCTGGGCGAACGGTCTAGCAGTCTAGCTGTTGCTCTGCCATGGTTAGTGACATTCCAGAGTCGGCCTGCAGGCTGTCCTTGAGGTGCGGTGCGTTCGCAGTAAGCCATTTCGCCATTTCTCTCAATCCATGTGACGCCGTCGCCGCCTCCAGGAGGCAAGCTGGAGGCCTTTTGAAACCGAGCTTTCGGACCATCAGCTGTTGCATCGGAACTTTCAGAAACACCCGTGTGCAGCGGGGGATGACATCTGAACTTGCAGTACTTGCCGTGTCAAGTACAACCGCCACTCGCAAGCTAAGAGGGATCTACCGCAGTGTCTTGGGCATTTCGGGAATCCCGCAAAAACCTCTCCTAAACGGGCCTTAGCCTCCTGTAGCACCCACAAGCAGTATGCGGGATCTTCAGCCACCACTTCAGACATGGGTCGTCCGCGATGCTTGCGGCCTTGACGCAAAGTCACAGACATGATCCCCCCTGCCAAGATTCCATTGCAACCAGCTTTCAAGTTCCAGGGCGATGTGAACATGAGCAGGAACCATGAACCACATCATACAGAAGTTGCTTCAAAAGGCGGGGGCAGGGACTCGCGCTACGGTTTTGCCTCCAAATCATCGTCTCTGGTCCCATGCAGGAGCTTGGAGGGTGGTACTAGAGCCCCTAAGGCCCTATATAGTAGGTACCTGGAGGGTTAGGGAAAGGGACGGCAAGCTTGCAACTCCCAGCCTGAAGCAAAAGGACCCCGCTCCTGTCAGGGGCAAGTGGAAGAACCGGAGAGCCTATCACTCAACAGCAGTTTCTTCGCCATCAGGAATCTCAAGACTTGCAAAACAGTCGCGTGGGTCCCAAGATTCCCAAAGAGTCCGTGGAAAACACCATGTCCAGCCAACCCTGAAGTTGACTTTGGGACAATTAATGTGTGTAGCTTGAAGGCAGCACCCTGAATTTCGACACAATCCTAAACTCTAAACCCTAAACTCGCTCCTGCAGGTGCGGCGCATTCTTCTTGAGCCACTCGGCGATTTCCCGCACTCCCAGCGAGGCATCTCCCTCCTCCGTGCGGTCTGTTCGGCACTGCATTCGGCAGGGCATAACATGCACAACGTCGGCTTATTACATGCATAAGGACATTGGAACTTGCATGTTATTGGCATTCTGACTCACGAAGCAAAGACTATAGTCTCATGCAAGACCAAGACAGGCGGGCATGAATCTCGTTCCTGTCACCTGCAACCATACATCCAAAAATGACGAGCCGAAGTCGGGTCTAGAAGGAGCACCAGATGAAAATGCACCGAAAACTCATGAGGCCTCGTTTGTATGCACGTTTTCGTCACGAACGGTTCAGGACTCCTCCACCTTCTGAAGAGCCCATTGGCAGAACACCGGATCTTCAGTAACGAGTTCAGAAACTGGCCGTCCGTAGTGCTTGCTGCCTGGCCAGCGAACTGAATGCTGCTGGGGTGCAGGTTGCACGCAAGTCTGACTTCCGAGGAAACGACATCTTGCAGTGCGCAAACATTCCGCCCGGCCTGATGCCAAAATCCCACATTCCTGCGGACACGAGCTCCACAGGAACGAGGAATTTCAAAGAGAATGCTGTACATCACCTGTCCTGGTAAGTTCTAACAAAGACAGATGGGGACGGTCATGGAAGTAAGTTTGTGTCCTGAACGTGCGGCGCATTGTCCTTGAGCCAATCGGCCATCGCTTGAATCTTCGGAGAGACATCGCCACCCTGATCCGGAAACACGGCTTCTTGGACAGTTGACGATCGTCGAACCTTGATTGTTAAGCCCCTGCTTAGTGCAACCCAACAATGAGGTGAAGCAGGGTGAAGCGATTGTCGCGTGGGTCTAAGCCTTGGCTAGTTCCCCAAGCATAATCCGCACTTGAGGTCCCCGGGTTGTCTGAATGTCTCAGCTGATTAGTGGCACTTGCAGAAATCGACCTAGCCGCCATAACTGAATCAGTTTTTTCAGCGTAACTGCTCAGCATCTTCCGGCTGTAGCCTTGAAGCGGAGCAGCAACGTGCACGGAGAACAAACCTGACAATTTTATGCCGCCGCGGAGCCTTCGCCTGTCTGAGAATCCACTGGCAGTACGTGGGATCTTCGCGGGCCAGTTTGGAAAGATATTGCGACCGGCCTGCCCGGGCAGTCGAACAACAAAACCCAAATTAGGGATTGTTCATAATGTGAAGGGGCATGTATTCAGTGTCTCATTGTTTGAGATCCAGATATTAGCTATCCGAATCACGGAGTAGTACGGTAGGCAGCTTCTTGCACTTTTCAATGGGTCCCATGGGAAACTTTTCGGCCAGCCCATAAAACCTGATCAGGTTGTAAAAGTACGCGGTATACATCCCTGAAAGAAGCACCAACGGTGGCCGGACGAAAAGTCCAGCTTGTGCTGAGTGCTGGCGAGCCCACCCCCACTCATGCCCAGTCTTGATCAGGCCATTGTGAAAGGCTGATGGTTTAAGGCGGGTAGTAGCAGTAGCAGATCCTAACCCCGATCTTTTAGCAGGAGCAAACACTGCAATTTAGCCTTCCGAAGTCAGGCAGCAAACAAGGTAGCCTGCCACAAGCTGCTTGCTGGCGTCCGCTGTTGTCAGACAACGTGTGTCAAAGGTGTCCTGCCGAAAAGTCTGGCATTGGCATGGCAAGGTTTCTGGCTTCAGGCACACTGGGAACATGTGTATGTTCAACGGTGATGCTTGCCAACATGGAAAGGGACAGCGAGAACTTAGGGCACACTTGAGTGCCGCATGCGTGTGTGTGTGTGTGGGTGGGTGCAAACTATAGCCGGGAACATCGCACAACATCATGTGTGCTGAACAACATAACATGTCGGATGTTGTTGCAAGGGACTGCGGGAATTGAGGTCTGGCAAGCATCGGCAGTTTTGTTTGGCTCCCTCAGACGGATGAAAACCCATCACCCACTGTGGATTTGCAACAGTTGCATGCAGCCATCGTTTCGGAGCAGTGGGGGCTGCCTTACACCAACACCTGACGCTCCGGATATCAACTAGAAATCATCGGTGCTGCCCTGCAGGAGCTGAAGATCGAGGCAAATATAGCAGCTGTTTGGCTGCTGCCACTGCCAGCACGACTATGCTGCAATTACTGGGGCTGATACATGTCCTATGGGAATATTACTGGCTGATTCGTCCTTCAGGTGCGGAGCATTCAGGGAGAGCCAGCCAGCAGCTTGCTGCAGCTTCTGGGATGAAGTTTCCTCCTGATCGGCTTCTGGGAAGACTGGCCAAAACCGAAGCCAAGCAAACCTTGACCACTCGGTGACTCTCATATTCGTTCCTCCTTTTAAGATAGGCTGCGTGTTTTGGCTTGATGGAAGGAGATGGTGCCAACAAACTCAGTTCTTCCGACATCTGAAAAAGCACATAACTGCCAAAGCTGTGCGGCTTTACAGCAACAGCTGACCTTTTGTCACCCCTTTCCTGCTTATCGGGCAGTCACACATGCCTCCGACAAACCAAAACCAACCCTTGCAGTCTCAGCCTCAGCTACGTGCAGAATCCATCGGCAATATCTAGGATCTTCCGCCACCACTTTCGACAGGGGCCGTCCGTAGGCAAGGGTAAACAGAAATGAATCTGGATCTCGCCTGCCGTATCGCAGGGCGAGGACGAAGGGAGCCCAGCGTTTAACAACACTTCTTGTGGGGGATGGACCTTCAAATCACAGAGATGCACACGCAGTCCATAGTTTCTGCAAGTCTCCAAACCAACATGTCAATTCAGATCTTTGTGTCCCGTCCGGCACAGCCGCTGCTGCTCTGGCTGCTCCAGATGCCACGTGGCGATTGACAAGCCTAGATCTGGACGGCAGGACAACATGTCATCCAAGTCTGAGCAAGGTTTCCAGCGCTGCGAGCGCGCCATGTCGGTTTGCCCAAATCATGCTCATATTTGCTGGTTGCTGAAACCATATACCGCTAAGCTCCAGGCATGAACAACACCCCCTAACAAATACGTCAAGTCGCGCACTGTCCGTGGCGATCCCTTTGGGCAGCTTCAGAGAAGCGCTCTTCCCAACCTGCAAGGCAAGGGAGGAAGCGATCTTGCAGCTCCTGCGGCTTCGGAGTCGAAGTGTTTCCGACGTGAACAACGACCGCAAGCCGTCAACTCACCTGCCAGTTCTTGCAGCTGCGTGCTGTTGCATGGAAGAACAGACCAGGCTCGGGAATCCGTGATGTTCTTCCAAACTTGAGCGCCCAACGATGAGGACGACGCATTCGCGAGCTTGGCCAAAGCTGCTGACATCCCCTGGGTCATGGGAATCGGCATGTCTCGATGCTGATCGAGCACTTCTCAGCGCAATTCCCCACCCCCCTAGCAGCCAAAATCTGTCCCGCTTTCGAATGATCTCCGATCCCACTCCGAGCCTCCACAGAGTGGCTAAAGAAGCGCCCACTCTCTATGGGCGATGTCTAAATGTGCAGACGAAAGTTGAGTGTCGTGAACATGCACATGATTGGCAATAATGTTGAGCTTAGGGTGGGATTGCACTACAGCTTGTCAGGAGCTTGGACACATAGCTTCAAAGAGCTTGATTGTAAACGGCAGCGAGGCAATCCGTCTTGCAGGTCGCATTGGTACATCACAATGTCAACACCGCAGCTTGCATTTGTCCGACATAACGGAATTGTCTTAGAAGGGCCTGGGATGGAAACAGAGCTTCAACCAGGGTGCTTGAAAAGCTAATTTCCCTTGCTCCTTGCTAGTCAGAACTTATTTTCCCCTCAGCTGGTCCCCCACCATGCTTGATTTGATGAAGCACTTTGGCCGGAAACAGCACGCATTGCTCTTGCATGCTGCTGCTACTATTCCCATGAGAACAGGCTACACCCCCGTGCAAAGAGATGCACATTGCTTCAGGCTTCCAGCACACTCCGACAGTCCCTGCGCACGGAGGCATCTGCTGTCTATATTTGTCGTGACGTGACGATCCAGCACGACTGGCTGCAGCTCAGACTGGCAGAGCAGGATTGTCAAGTCACCAGATCCCCGAACCCATCCGTAAGCGATTCAACTTGTGAAGTCGCAACAAGGAAGAAAAACATTAAATAGCTCAATCCTCGAAACTCGGGGCATTGAGTGCGCTGCACCCTGCGATGCTGAACCTGGCTCAGGGCCCAGGAGAGCTGAAGCCACGCACAGAGGCCGCAGTGTAGCAGACAATGATCGGAGTCAAACCGACCATCCCCAAGAAGTCTGAGCAAAACTGCCAAGGAGTACCAGACGCCGACGCAAACAGCAACTACTCTTCTACAGCATGGGCAAAGTGGCGATGGCAACCGCTTTCCCGGAGAAACGGGCAACAATATTCACAGATTTCCCGCTACATTTGTCTAAAGCCCTCTTTTTATGTTTTGGGCAAACTCCTTTGATGGCCGCAGCTACTGCTCGATTTCGGAAGTGTGTTAATTCACAGGGGCATCGCATCAGATTGCAACGGCCTACATCTGCTGAATAGGCTACGGAAGGAAAATTGACTGCCTTCGAGTCGGAAACGGGATGCAACTTGTGAGCACATTCTTTGCGTGTAGTGCCTCAAAGTGCTCTACCCCAGGCCGCCTTGCCCACTCCCAAAGATGAGGTACAAATAACCCAGCTATGTACATGTCAATGAAACGCGACAATAACACGACTGAGTTCAGCCTTAGCATGGAAGTCATGCAGGACGAATATGATCTATACCAGACATTTGCAAGTGAAACTGCCCGTGGCCTGTCAGTGCAGTCGGGCGAAAGCCGCCAGGAGTTGTAAGTTCTTGGTGCCAATTCGTTTGCCTGCGGCATCTTCTGGGTAAGGCTGGCTCAGGTGATCGTAGGAGCTGAAGGGTGTATGGGTTTGTCGTCCTGAGGGAAATGGAGATGCAGGTCACGTCCTTAAACCAAATCTGTCACAGAAGCCAGGCAAATATCCCGTCCTAATCCGAAAACCCTTGATCACAAAATGGGAACTTGGTACCAACTGGACAAGAAGGGCCGCATTGACTCGCAGAGGCATTCCGGATGCGGCTCTCGGCCCAGTCAACATATGTTGGCGCCTCCTCATCGCGTCAGCATCTGAATGAGAAAGGTTTCGAGACATGGGAATGTTACTATCCTAGAAGTCAAGTTTGACCTTCGAACGCTGGGTGCAAGCAGCCGTGCGACGTTCGGACATCTCTGCGACAACAACCCATGCGGAAATTTGTGGGGAGTAAGCGGAACGGTCTTACTACCGGTCTTACTACCCGTACTGTAGCAAGCATTTAAGACTTGTCAGGCCTGTATGTAACGAAATGTAGCCACCTGCCCCCTCGTTTTGAGGTTCTTTCTGAACATGCAGCGGTACGAAAGCAGCTTCAGCTACAGTACCCTCATACATCCTGGTCGTACACGACAATGGGTTCCGGCAGTGGTCAAGTCTGGGGTGCTCTATGGGAACAAAGACTGTGCCAATATTCTGCCAAGGCATTAAGAGTTCCAGCCAACGGACGTGGGGTTGTTGTGGGTAGTGGGCGGGTGCACATACGTCTACATCCTCAAAGCCTCAACCATATGGTCACAACGACCACAGTGATAAACTGCATGCCTGAGAAAAAACACATAATCCCAGTTGTTTGCCTCCTGCAGGGCTGAACGAGTCACGAAGCAGGGTTACATAATCCCAGTGTTGTATGTGGTTGCCCTT